CTCTCTCTCTCTCTCTCTCTCTCTCTCTCTCTCTCTCTCTCTCTCTCTCTCTCTCTCTCTCTCTCTCTCTCTCTCTCTCTCTCCGTGTGTGTGAGACTCCCTCCCTCTCTCTTTCTCTCTGTGAGACTCCCTCTCTCTCTCTCTCTGTGAGACTCCCTCTCTCTCTCTCTCTCCCCCACAGAGACAAACATGCAAAGAAGGGTCTGTGTCTTAGTCCCCGTCCCACCTGTGACACCTGCCCAGTAAGAAGCTACCAATCTCAATATACGTACGCACTAGATTCTCAATTGACCGATCATGAAGGTACGCCACGATCCACAAATATTGACCGACATGTACCGTCACACACATCACCTATTTCGTTACTGTGAACTTGTGTTCGATGCTGTATATACCCACCGACGCAGATGCCTTTTCATCCCAATCACAGAACTCGCCACTAGACAGGTCAATGTCGTTGAACGCAGTGCCAGACTCGGTCCCTCGGGCCACCCAGCCATCTCGAGGATAAAACACAATAGGTTCAAGCCCGCGACATTCGAAACAAGCTACAGGGACAAATTTCCCCTCCTCACTGTCCTCTGCTGTGTACGGTTTTCCTCTTCCCTCCACGGCAGTCAGCGTACCCGTTCTTCCGCAAAATTTGCATTTCTGGACAAGATGCGCTTTGCCCCGACTGTTCGGGATGTCGTAAAGCTCACACATTGTCACTCCCGATTCCTTGTCGCTCTCCTCGTTGCAAGACGTGCATTTTATCTTGAACTGCCATGACTGCTGCGGACTTGGCTCAGGGATCAAATTCGTCAGATTCTCCAGTTCTGCCTTTATCTCTAGCAAAAGCACTCCCATCTCTCTCTCTCTCTCTCTCTCTCTCTCTCTCTCCCTCTGTGTGTGTGTGTGTGTGTGTGTGTGTGTGTGTGTGTGTGTGTGTGTGACTGTACCAGCTAGTTGTAGGAAAGGTTCCCTTTGTCCTTGTCCACAGCTGAAGCGGCGCTGGAAGCAACAATGCCCAGCACAAGAGCAAAGAAACAAAAACCCAGCAGAGCATGAATACTGTCACAAAACTGAAAAGATGCATTTCATCAGACCGTCAGGCCTGCAGCAGAATACGGACATCTAAATGACAGGAAAAAAAAAGAGGATCAGTTTATCCCATAATTTATTGGCCCCTGCGCAAGGATGACACGTATAAATTCTGAAGTGGTCCAAATCAAAAAAAAAAAAAAAAAAAAAAAAAAAAAGAGAGGTGATTCAGCTGGCTAAATTGCTTTGATAGGCTCTATAATATGAGTCTATATTAATTGGCCAATCTTGTTTAGTTTTGCTCATACTTTCCACAGTTTGTAGTAGTTCAGATTTGGTGCTACTTCGGTGTTCTGCTAACGACCCTTCTTCCCCCGAATACAACGTACGGTCATTATAGCTGTGTTTGGGGCGTCTTTCAGTCTAAATACAGCTATAATGACCGTACATTGTATTCGGGGGGAAGAAGGGAGTATATGGGAACGAAGGGAGTATATGGGACCAGTCCCATACTTGATACGAGCCCTGGTTAACCCAGAGCAGAACATACCGGGCAATGTCCCGCTCAGCGTGAAACATAGTGATAGCACCGAGGTCGCAAAGAAAGACGACCAACCGACGAGGTGAAAAAAGAATTAAAAAAATAAATAATAAAATCATGCAACGTGGCTAACGTGGGCCCTCCCCTAGGGTGTCGCTCCACTCCCAGACATTCGATGCGTATCTGGACTGTATACAGGCGAGGTACATTCGGTCTGACCAAACATGTTGAATCTATGGGAAGCTCACATTACCAGTTCCAAATAACGTTGTACGGTGGAGCAAGGTCCTTAGTGCCTCCCTCAACTATGCGACACTTGAAATGTATCTGGGCGGTTAGTAATCCAGATGCATTCGAGCTGATGAAATATTCTGAACGTCTCTCAGGCCTACCGCCAGAACCAGATACATTTCGAATGTTGTGCAGTGGAGAGCGAGGCACACTTGCTCAACTACGCAACATTTGAAATGTATCTGGCCGGTTAGTCATCCAGATTACATCGAGCTAACGAAACATTCCGAACCTATTGGGACTACTACCCAGAACTAGATACATTTTCAATGTTGCGCAGTCAAGCCGAGGTCCTTGATCGGCAAAAAAAAGAAAACGTGAGCTCCCCATTTGACAATCGTCTTGCAGTGGAATGTCCAACTTGCCATCCCGCGCTGCTTATTTGCTGACCATAGATTACGACCATCAATGAACAGCGACCACAAAACCGGGAAAAGGGGGGTTGCCACCACTCTCTCTCTCTCTCTCTCTCTCTCTCTCTCTCTCTCTCTCTCTCTCTCTCTCTCTCTCTCTCTCTCTCTCTCTCTCTC